ACCTGTATTTTGTACTTCTCTGAAATCTCCAGATGAGAATACTACAGGGATTATGTATACTTCATACTTAAGAATTTCGAAATTTCAGTTTCTTAAATACAAGGGCTTCAATTTTAGGCCGACAGCACATCCTAGTGGGTACTCACACTATTCCATGGCTTTTAAACTACACTTCAGTCACAGCTGCATAAATACTCTTGTGGCATCCTTCAGTGCCTGCATTTTTCTTCCTTCCCCATATGGAATAACGAAGAATGACGTTAGGATTTTGGAAGTGTGTGCCAATTAATAAAACTGAGATAATTCAGGAACACAGAAGACTTTACAATTGGTTCCATATATCTTTTAAGCAAAAATGTGCTTCTGAATATGCATAATTTTAACCAATTTTAGGCAATGAACGGTAGTGTAGTTTGTTTTCTTGTTTTCATTTGCCAATAGGAAAAAACAATTTCAGTTTCATAGGGGCAGATTTACTGGCAAATATGAGCTCAGTAATATGTGCATATTACTAAGTACTAGGCTAAATAATAACTAATCAATAAAACAAATATTTACTCATCAAAAATGCATCTATTACAGCTTTTTAATGAGTGACTTTGCCAGTCAAGCATGCAGCACAATCAGAGAGCTGTCTGTTGAACCAGACAAAAATCAAGTGAAAATGGAAAGCAAATGCTGTTTAACTCTGCCACATTTTGTAACAGTCCCATTTAGAGATTTTTAAAGACTTCATATGGGAAGGGTTGTGAAGTAGAGGATATGGACATGGAAAATCTTTAAGATATTTTCTCCCAGGTAAGTTCACAATTTTGCATAGCTGCAAAACCTTTCAGCATATTTCTCACTTTCTGGTATTGTCATGTTTATAACATATATTTTCCATATGAAAGATGAGGTGACGTTTAAAAGATGTGTGTCTTTTAAACAAGCAGGCCTGTGAATGGAGTGCTGTATCCTTAACAGGCTCTGTAAGCTGAATTTTGGTGAAAGGGAGTTTGGGGGACATCTTATGAGGAGCACTTAAGAACCCTATGACTGTGTAGTTTGGAGAAACAGAGGCTGAAGGGTGACCCCCTTAATCTCTAAAGTTTCCTGAAGAGGGGAAGTAGAAAGGGATATGCTGATTTATTCTCCCAGGCATCCAGTGATAGGACAGCTGGGAATGGTTCAAAGCTGCATCAGGGCAGGCTGAGACTGGACATCAGGAAGCATTTCTTCACCAAGAGAGGCGTGAAATACAGGAACAGGATTCCTGGTCAGTTGGTTATTGCCCCAGGCCTGTCAGCAATTCACAGGTGTCTGAACAAGGCCTTTAAGAACATATTTTAACTTTTGGTCAGCACTGAAGCTGTCAAAGAGATGGTTGTTGTAGGTCACTTCCACCTGAAATTATTCTATTCTATTCTATTCTATTCTATTCTATTCTATTCTATTCTATGCTATGCTATGCTATGCTATGCTATTCTTATCATTTGTCTGCTGAATATCTGCAATAATCAGCAGGCAGCACACTTCTGCAACAGAACCTGATACCATGGAGGAAGGAAGGCAGTGACCCTTCTATACTTGGATTCACATATTTCTTTCCGCTTCTGGAATCAATTTCAGTTGTTCCAGGGCAATTTTATAACCTGATAAACTTTCGGTTTCTTTGTTTATGGTTAAAGTGTTTAAAATCATTACATGAGAGAAAAATATTTTCTGCTACTATTATGTGGCTTTTCCAAAGACTCCGAAATCATAAGTCAGTTAAAAGGATCCCCATTTTTTAGTTCATGGTCTTCTGCTGCCCGACTCACGTTCGATTGTGTTACTACCAGTGCTAACATCTTAATTTGGCTGAGAGGAAAAGCTGCCCAGAAACAGTCCCTGTGCCCCACCTACAGGCGAATCCATCATTCCCCTCCAGCGCTGTGCAGGTCTCAAAAATTCTCTCCTGAGAAGGGAGGGAAAGAAGGGAGAGGCTCCAGCACTCTCAGCTTTGTTAGCAACCCCAGCCGGGTACATGCACTGTGTTTCAAAGCTGTAGATGCAAGGTGAGAGATAACAGAGGGGTTTTTGTCAGTCCCCAAACATTTCCTAAATGAGCATTGACAGTGGCTGTTACATCAGGTACAGCCTAAGCAACAATACTGCACACTTCTCTACCAGAAGTAGAGATTATTTTCTGGAATAATTTCCACATCAGAGTTCAGGAATCCTTGCTGTAAATAAAAGTTAACATAAGGAATTCTCAGTAAAAAGCTATTAACTTCTCAACAGAAGGACACATAATAGGAGAAAAGGTGCTCTTCAGTTAATACTACTTGCTATATGTCGGGGTCCGCTGTTATGTGTCTCTGCCCCGACACAGGGAAAGGTGGTTCTGGGCGGCCGCGATTGCGAAGGATGAGTCTGGACTCTCAAATTCTCGGTCTTCAGTTCTGTTTATTATCTCTTATCTACAAAGTTTTCTCTCTGCCCAGCCGAGGTCCGCTCAGCAGGACAGTCGAGTGCACTCTCCCCCGCCCACAGGGCGGTTGTGTCTTTTATAGTAAAAATTACGTGTGACATATTTACTTTTATTTCCCAATACTATTCATCTTTATAGACAAGTGCACTTTCACTATGAACCAATCTCCAAGTGCCAACATCACCACACAAAATCGAAGACATGAAGAAGAAAGAAGAACACAGGACCACGCCCTGAATCCTCCATCTTGCCTTCATGACCCCCCTGTACCTATTTTTCTAAAATTTATATTTCCCTCCATAAAGGTATCATTCACACCCAAGAAGCTCTCATTTCCTCCCTCACAGGTTCTTCTCCTTTTGATGGATCGAAATCCAACCACCAAACCCTTTTGGCAGCATTCTAGGGTTTCTGAGCCCCCCAGGGGCTCCCTTGGTGTCTCTGCACATCCACAGTGATGTGCTGAGATCCCACAGCTATAAATAAATATACTTTTATGCTTAATGAAAGCATTTTTAGTGGGAAGGGACCTCTGATCACGGTCCACATGACAGTTTTCTTTCTTCACAAATGGTGGGGTATGGGAGGGATTTGTTTCTATAATATTTGTCAGAGCTGAAAAAATTTGTTGCAGAGGTGCTGAGCAGCAACTTTTTCCACCATATTTTGTCACCATATTATATGGCAGCAATCTGATTCCCAGGAATGCCATAATCCAAATGGCTGAGGTTTGAAGGGACCTACGGAGGCAGCCAAAAAGTTCCCAGCTAATTAACATGCACAAATCTGAGTGATCAAGAAAACAAAGAAGCTGCATCTAAAGTTATCACCCAAACTACTGCTTACAGATGCTTCTAGATCCAAAACCCAGTCACTCCCTTCCAGGATCACCCCCAAAAGAAACAAGGAAATAATCAAATTGCGGTAGCAGCATTTCCCTAACAAAGATCAATTTCTTATAACTGGTGACAGCCCTCTGATAGAGAAATAATGATGGAAAGGAAAAAATAAATTAAATTGAGTTTTTAAATCTCATTCAGATTTAATAAAATGAAATAAAAACGCCCTGGAAAGATTGGTGGTATGAGTAAGCACCAGAGAGGAGAGTAGACTGATCAGGTGTTTGCTTTGGATGTGATATCAAAGAGCTGACAGTAAGACCACCATAATTGAGGGAAAATCTGTGGTTTTTCACTGCATGAGAATTAATCCTTACTGTCCACCTCACAGGGAAATTATGATCAGGCAAGAGGGACAGCCCAGTTATAACCATGCATCTGCACTTGCCTAACACAAAGCAAGAACAAAAAATTATTAAACCTATGAAACAAATGGCAAACAAAAATATAATTAATGAATAATAAATACCACATAATTTCCAACCACAATAATAGTCTATTTTCTTTGCCATTTTAATTTAGTAAAATTTTAATAGAGTTCCATAATCCCAGTTTATTATATTTTGACATAACTTTTCCTTAAATAAATTTGAAATTCATGAGAGCAGAATGTACATAATGATTGACACCAACAATAATTCACATCAGTCTTTCCAGTAGCAGGGAATGCTGTTAATACAGCTATTACCTGCAAATTCTGGGGAGTAGCTTTGTTACTCTTTCTCTAATATTAGAAGCCCTAACAGTTGGTGAAGGTGCACTCTATCCATTTGGTTTTTACCCATATTTTACAAGCAGCTTCTCACTGAGAGCCAGGGAGAGTATGTGTGCTCTGGAGATGGAATTAGTGCCACGCAGCGCTGCTCACTGACAGCCCAGACAACGCTTGGGGAGCTGCCCCCTTCTCTTAGACGTCAACTACAACAGAAACAACAGCTCCTGTTGCTTAGCACCTCTTCATTCATTCTTCCAGCACGTTTTAGTGACACCACAAAGTAAAATCTGCATTTGCCTCCCGGCAAGGAGCTGCAGTTCCTTGGACATTAGGCAGCGTTACCACCTGAGGGTCCGTGTTTGCCACTGACCACTACGGGCTTGGCTGGCAACTCAGCAGCTTTTACACGGCACTTCCAAAGCACGGAAACAAACGTTCAACACTTGAAGTTTAACACCTTTTTTTGCATTATTTTGTAATTATTGCAATGCTGCAGTATTGGTGCGCCCGCTGGAGCTTTCACGGCTCGGCTACGTGGCAACCCACTGCTGGCACCGTGAGGCGCGGCTCTCCAGGCACTGCGCACCGCGGGCGGCTCCCGCGGAGGCGCTGCTCAGGGCAGGTAGAGCAGCGGCTCTGGTTAGCCTGCTCCGCGTTAGCCGGCTCCGCGTTAGCCGGTTCCGCGCATTCCCTGACGCACATTCCCCCGGCTCCAGCCGCTCCGGGAACGTGGCACAGCCCACAGCCGGCAGGCCGGGGGGGCGGGTGGAACACACCAACCCTCCCAAAACTGGGGGGGCACGGCCGCGCTCTCCCCCCTGATGGGCGGGGCGGCGGTGATGGGCAGGGCGCGGAGCCAATCAGAGAGGCCATCGGGGCGGGGCAGCCGGAAGCGGTGCCGGGCGGAAGCGCCGTGGGGGCGTGAGCGGGGCAGGGCAGGGCAGGGCTGGGAGGGGAGCGCCGGGGCGGGACCGGGCCGAGCCGGGATACGGAGCGCGACCAGGATACGGAGCCGAGGCACGGAGCTGAGGCGGCGGCCCCGCCGGTGATGCGCACTCCGCAGGGGCTGCCGGCCCGCTGAGGTCGGTGCGGGGAGCGGCGGCGCCGCGGCCATGCCGTGCACCTGCGGGAACTGGCGGCGATGGATCCGGCCGCTCGTGGTGCTGCTCTACATCGTGGGGCTGCTGGTGGTGGTGCCGCTCTGCGTGTGGGAGCTGCAGAAGCTGGAGGTGAGGGGCGCGGCCGGGGCGCTCCGCCGGGGCCGCTGGCAGCGGGCTCGGCCCCGGGCAAGGAGGCGGCGGGGAAATGTGTTACCTCATCGGAAAAGTATAAAAGTATCGAAATCACGGGTGCCAGGAGGATGGACCGGGCTCTGCTCAGTGGTGCTGGGCAATAGGACAAGAGGCAACAGCAGAAACTGATGCCCGGGAAGTTCCACCTGAATATGAGGAAGAACTTCTTTGCTGTGTAGTGACTACACACTGGGACAGATAGCCCAGAGAGGCTGTGGAGTCTCCCCTGCAGAACATATTCAAGAACCATCTGGACACAATCCTGTGCCATGTGCTCTGGGGTGACTCTGCTTGAGCAAGGAGGTTGGACCAGATGATCCACTGTGGTTCCTTCCAGCCTGACGCATTCCGTGAAAGGACAGGCTGGAGAAGTGCCATGGGGCTGCTGGACTCATTTGTCCTGCTACTAAAGCCCTAGTGAACTTCAGAGGAGCAGGGCAATGTTTCTTTCCCCTTCTGTTTCCATAGTAGTTGGTGTTTGAACAGCTGGTACAATTCGGAAGAAATTCAAGTCAGCCAAGAGTCTCAAAGTGACAAGAATGGGTCAGGTTGGAGGGGACCACAGTGGATCACCTGGTCCAACCTCCCTGCCCAAGCAGGGTTGTTCCAGAGCACATTGCACAGGATTGTGTCCAGACTGTTCTTGAATATGTTCTGCAGGGGAGACTCCCCTCCCTCACTAGATATGTGAGTGATCTGTCCCAGTGCATGGTCCCTGCACAGTAAAGGAGTTCTTCATGGTCAGGTGAAACTTCCTGGGCATCAGATTCTGCCCATTGCCTCTTATCCTATTGCTGGTCACCACCAAGAAGAGTCTGGCTCTCTCCATAAGTTCATCCCAGAACTTAGATTTTGAAACTTAGTACTCATGCTGGCATTCATAAAGGTATTTCTGTCTGTTTTGGGAGAATTTAGTAGAACATCTCTATGGATAGAGAAGCTGTTTTATGCTGGTGGTACCGTAATTGTGGTGTGGGAATTATACACACATATGATCACATCGCTTCTCTAACAAGAAGTAAAATTTTAACCTTAAAAAATATGTATTGTTCAATGTGATGCAGGTCTGTGGCCCTGAAGGTAGGCTTTTTCAGGGTGTAATTTTCAGTACTTAATGACAGTAAGATCTGTCTTCAATGTGTTTAACATTTAACATTTTGAATTCCTGTTCTGATGCATAATGCATGTTCCACGTAATAGATGTTTATATCTAAGTCTGATACTTGTAGAGAAACTGATCAGAAGTAAAACTAGAAAACAACAGGAGACATGGGATGTTGATGTAAAATAGGGGATCAGAGAAACGACTCTCATCAAAGGAAACGGAGAAGAGTCTCCTATGTTTCTCAGGTTTTGATATTTAGGATTATTAGTTGTTTTTCAGAGAGCTTTGATTTAAAATTTCAATCCTGTGTTTTAGCAGACATTGAGGTTTTATGTATCTACATGCATACCTATTTCAGTTCGTTAAATGAAAACTAATTGATTACTATTTGGAACTTGATTTTAAAGCTAAAAGGACTTTAAATCCACAGGTTTTCAGAAACTTTATAATGCAACACTGAATCAAGACAAGTTCCATATGTAAAACAAGGAATCTGTTGTGGGTTTCAGTAAATTAAGTACTGGGCATTACTCTGTTTTTGTGGAATGTTTTGTGTACTTGTAATAACTTGACAGTATTAAGACTGAAACTTTGATCTTGCAAGGTTGGAATTCATACCAAGGCATGGTTTATCGCTGGGATATTTCTGCTAATGACTATTCCAATATCTCTCTGGGGGATACTACAACACTTAGTCCATTATACTCAACCTGAACTACAGAAACCAATAATAAGGTAATATTTCACGTTTTAGCTATGCTACAAATATTGGATTTAATTCAGACTAAAAATACTTCTAGTAATCTGAAATGTTCTTTTGTTGTTGTAACAGGATTCTGTGGATGGTGCCGATTTACAGTTTAGACAGTGTAAGTGTTCTCTTACTGTTACCAGCTCAATCAAATTCTGTTTGTTGTGGAAGTGAGGGAAAATAGTGCCAGGCAGAAACTGTGCTGCATGGAGAGGGTAGTCCTAGAAACTTCTGGGCATTCCTGTTTATGTCAGAAGCATAGTTCTAGTTATACTACATTCTTCTTCTGGAGATTTGGGGTTGCTTTTGATAATCTTTCTTAACCCTGTCCTTGAGTATCCTTTATGATGGATGTGGAAGCGGGTATGACAGGAGCTTGCTTTTGGCCCTTCCATCTTAATAGCAGAAGTGGAAACAGGACTGATCCAAGAACTGCCTCAAAATTCAGTGCTGTACCTTCCTTACCCAAGTTAGTCTTACTACTAAAATTCTTTCCTGAGTTATGGCTAGTGCTAAAATGATTCCTTTTTGATTCAGGGGATGAAGGATAACATCCTTGGCACAGTACAACAGCATTGTGATAGTCAGAATCTGAGAGTTCTGACAGTTGATCCATAACCACAGTTTCACTAAAAATAGAAAACCCGCTTTTGGTCTGAAACTCAGCTGTGTGTGTGATTTTGTAGCTGTAGCATTGCTCTCCCCTTAGCCCAGTGCCCCCAGCGCTGTTTGATCAGTGCCTGCTGGCTCAAGAGCTTGCTGAACCAGTGTTGTCTTTCTCGCACATAACCTTTTGTGTACCTCTCTTCTTGCAGTGGATAGCTTTGAAATACCCCAAGATTGCAATATATGTGGATACATGTCGAGAATGCTATGAAGCTTATGTCATCTATAACTTTATGGTTTTTCTTTCAAATTACTTAACCAACCGGTACCCAAACCTCGTGTTAATAATAGAAGCGAAAGATCAGCAGAGACATCTGCCCCCTCTCTGTTGCTGTCCATCGTGGGCTATGGGAGAGTGAGTATATCATGACATCTTCAAGATTTAAGCTGTGTAGGCAGATCCAAACATTTTGTTTTCATATTTAGCAGCATAACATTTGCTGCTTGATGGAGTGAGTTTATGGTTTGTGTGTGTTTGATCAGCTGTGAACTCTGCTGAAAGCAGCTGTGGACGAGTGACAGTCAAGCTATAAAACATCCTGTGAACTGGACTTAGTTACTAACATGCATTGACTCAGGAAGGAAACTTTTTCATTGAAGGAAACTTTCTTATTTTTCGAAAATATTAAAACAAGGTCTCCTGGAATCTGCTTCTTTTGCTATTTGCCAAAAATCTCATGTGGAATTTGGAGTAGACTGGGTAGCCTGTTGTTTTTACTTCAGGTGAAGGGTGAAAGGCCTTATGAATCTAAACTGTTTATTTCTGAATGCTTAACTGATAAAATATCTCTCTCTCTCTCCCTCAGGAGATTTTGAATTTGATAAAGCTGTTTGGGGTGAGGGGAAGGGAAGGTGGCCTTCAGTGGTCACAGCTTCTTTATACAGTTTGCCATACTGAGCAAAGAGCTTTGGTTCTCTTAAGTGTTTAGGGCAATTATTATGATTTTTAAGTCTCTTACATTTAGACTAAAAGTTTTTCTTACATCTTCAAACACAGCAAAAATTGCATTCTCTTTGTTTAGCCCAGCCAGAAGCTTTTTATGGCTAAAATAAGTGCATCATTGAATATTTCCTGTAATGTGTCTGTAAAAATCCAGCTCTTCTGTGTATTTTGTGTATACGCACTATATGATGCAACATCTTAAGTCCTGGATGTAGAAGTTGAAATTACCATAAAATTAAAATTTACCTTAGTAAATCTACTGAGAATATGAATCATCCATAAGAGAATTGCATTTAAATCCTTGTACAATGAATTTTGTGTTTCTCTTTCAGAGTTTTATTATTTAGATGTAAACTGGGTGTTTTGCAGTACACTGTTGTCAGACCATTTACTACCATTATTGCTTTGTAAGTACACTGATAAATAATTAATATTGATCTTCAGGATATGATTTTGAGTTACACTGGAAAGAATTTTCATGCCCTTTGTATTGGATCAGGGCAGTTTGAAAGCAGACTTGTGTTGCATGCTAAATGGGTCCCAACAATTTGAATCAACTCATGATTTCTTTATGGCTTTTCTATAGCAAATGACTATTTGCAGAATTGAAATCATAAATACTTAATGCCAGCTTCTGTAATCAGTGGGATAGAATGTGAAGTACTGTTGGGGTGGGAAAACATTTTTATGATCTCTTAATTTTTAGATGCTTTATTCCTCCTCCCTTTTTTTCATTGACTTCAACAACTGAGAATTTTTAAAGGCAGGTTTCGTGTAACTTCTAAAATTTTTTTAAACTTCACATGTGACAAGCTTGACTATGTGCCTTCATATCCTACAGCCTGTGTTTGTAAAGGAACAGTAGGAAATCAGGCATGATGTTACTGAAAGTTTAATTTCATGAGCTTTGCATTGATGGTCATTACTGTTAATTCTGTGGGACTGTGAAAAAAAGTTGCTACTCACAATGAATATCCATATAAATATTTCTGTTTTACATATATGTAAATGTGCTGTTGGAAACTGATTCTTGTGCAGGCCCCCAGTGCCCTTATGTGAGTACCAGAAAAGGTTTTGAATCCTTTTTCTAAGGATTGATTGTTGTAGTGAAGATGTAGCACTTGAGGGAAGTGATGTTACTCCATAGTGATTAATTCTAAAAATTCTTCCAGAATTTGTGAACTGGTGGGAGTGTATGATGAAGGAAACTTCAGCTTCAACAATGCATGGACTTACCTAGTTATACTTAACAACATGTCACAGCTAGTGAGTATCAGGGGTACATCTTTCTGCTCTTGGAATTCATCAGTAATATGTGAATCTTCTATGTGAACTGTTGGCAGTGATTGTGTAAATGTCTGGTAATTCTTACAGGTAGAATATTTCCTATTTTGAGTCAAAATTGCTGTCTGTTAAATATTATGTGTGAAAAATAACTGGAAAACCAGATAATCTAAAACTTTGTTGAAGCTCAATAAAGTAAGCACCTTTCTACCCCAAATTATTTGATGGGTCAGGTAGTATGGCCCAGGCATTAGAGCTGCCCCTCTCTGGTAAGAGATGACTCCACCTGCCCCCACAGCTTCCTCCCAGCACTTATACAAAGAATCAATATGTTAAAAATTCTGTGTTAAAAATGGTGGTAACATTCACAGGAAAAAATGAAAATGGTGTGTGCAGTGCTGGGAGTCTGGCCTACCTAACACCTCTTTTTGTTGGGTCAGCTGTCAGATAATGTCAGGGTAAGATGTCAGCCCCTAAAATTGAGAGTTTCATTTTGGAGTCCATGGATTGCTTTTACTTCTCTTGGCAACAGCAGCAGGAGTCAGAACAGCATAACAACTGGGATCATTTGGAAATTCTGTCCTCCTCTTGCTGCCACCCCTGTGTTCGATGGGTGACTGTCACAGAAGGAGCTGTAATTGCTTTCTGCTGTGACAGCAGTCCCAACAGCAGCACAAACTTCTGTGTCCTGGTTGAAATGATTGGAATTTCAGGAATAAAAAAAAAAAAAAAAAAAAAAAAGGTAGCATTTTAAGGTTGTCTCATGCTATATACATATTTTAACTGTATAGATGGTGTAACACAACTCCCTCACAAAATAAACATGGATTTGAAAGCTTTCATTAATTTCCTTTTCCTTGTCAGTTTGCCATGTATTGTCTGGTGCTGTTTTATAAAGTACTGCGTGAGGAACTGAACCCTATCCAGCCTGTTGGCAAGTTCCTTTGTGTGAAGATGGTAGTTTTTGTTTCTTTCTGGTAAGTGGATTTTTTACTTGTTAGTTCTTGCTCTCAGGGCAGATCATAAAAGAGCTAAAAAGGCTGGATTTGTTACTGAAGTTAGAGGGCTTAAAATGTCTACCCATAATCTTAGTGAGCTGCAGTGAGGGGAAGAAGGTACTACTGTGTTGGAGAGAGCAGTCTTGTTCACTTAAGATTATTTTTTAGACTTTGTCTTTTGTAACATGATTCTCAAGAACATAACTTATTTTAGAATCTTTAATTGCAGTTATTCAAAACTATTTCTTTTTTCCTTTTAAAAGTAAAAAAAATTACTTTTATTGTACGTTAAATAAAAATTGCTGTTTGAGTATTGCTCACACTTAGCTGCTAATGAGGGAGTGTATTTGACTATCAGAGCATTACTCTCTGAGCTACAGCAACATCCTGAAAGACAAGGAACTTGTTCTAATGACTAACTGGAGCAACAAACTCTTCTTTAGTTCTCTGTTCTTTGGTCTTTAGGGTCAGGGACGAATGACATCTCTTCTTAAGTTTGTTTCCTCCTCATAAAATTTAAGTATCTAAACAGAAAAGTTTATTTTAAAGTTCTTCCTATGTATACATATGACCAGATTTTCTTGGAGATTTTTGGCACTACTGTTACAATTCTAATGCACATACTTCTTATAATAAATTCTTTTTATAGGCAGGCTGTGCTCATTGCATTGCTGGTGAAAGTTGGTGTTATTTCTGAGAAACACACCTGGGATTGGCAAAGTGTAGAAGCTGTGGCTACAGGCTTACAGGTAGGAGCAGATGGTTATTTCTGGGGAGAAATGTTTATATGTAAGATGACATAGCTGATGTCAGGGAAATACTTGGAAATACTCAAGGAAATAACACAGGCTTGGTTAGTAATGGTTTATTCTAAGTGGGCTAAGTTTCAGCCAATAAGCCCATGTGTTTTATGCTTAACACTTCCATATCCGTGGCAGAAGGAATGTGCCCCAGTGAAATATGTCTGGATAGCCTTGCATTTCTTCTTGCAGGTATTCATTGTAGAGCTGCTGCTTGTTAAATTATCTGTTTAAGGGAAGTCCTGTATGTATGGCTCTCTGAAAGCTGCCAGGAATATCCTGGTGGAAAAGTAGCTGATGTCAGTATCCCAGGGCAATTTCAGCCTTTCAGTTGTAGAAGAAACCCAGAACTATTTTTCTCCAGTTATGAATGAATATAAGTCAGTATCTCTGTCATTGCAGGATTTTATCATTTGTGTGGAGATGTTTCTGGCTGCTATTGCACATCACTACAGTTTTTCCTATAAACCTTATGTTCAAGAAGCTGAAGAAGGCTCATGCTTTGACTCCTTCCTTGCAATGTGGGATATTTCTGATCTAAGGGCAGATATCTCTGAACAGGTTCGAAATGTGGGTAAGTAACAGACGGGATTTGTACAATTTATCAGCATCTCTATTTCCAGCTTCATGACACAGTAATGCCCACCTTTATAGTAGCCTGAGAACATTCTATTACCAAATCAGTGAGAGTTGCATGCCTAGAGGATTTCATGGTTTATCTGGCACGTTTGTCTTTCCGGAATTCCTGACTTATTTAGAGTCTAGTTTTTAATTTTTCTTTTAAAAAGGTTAGGTAAGTTGTTTTCCTCTTAAATGGAAAGACATACTTTTCTTTATTAAAACTAACAATGCCCAAGTAAAACTAATACAAAACAAAGACTTATCTTCCAATTTAATGTGACTGTTTTAGAGTTGATTTGTTCAAAGACTTATGTTGGAAGGATTAAAAAATGTTTTCATTTCACATAATTCTAGGGAGGACAGTTTTGGGCCAGCCAAGGAAAATGTTTTTTGCTGAGGATCATGAACAAAATGAGCATACAAGTTTGCTGTCTTCATCTACTCAAGACCCAATTTCTGATGCTTCTTCAATGCCATCTTCACCCATGGGTCACTATCAGGGGTTTGGACACACTGTGACCCCTCTCACAACACCAACGACAGCCCCTGCAGTCGATGGGATTTTTAACCCTTCTGCCAGTCAAGATGCTGAGGAATCACCTGAACTAGAGAACAACTTAGCAGAGAAAGCTCTGGATAAAAGTTAAACTTGCCTTTTATTGGAATGTGTCAAGGAGTCATTACATACTTGCCACATGTGTCCTGTTAACATGTACTGTTAAGGATGGAAGTTGAAAAGCTTGGGAAAGCTGCTGCATGGACAGGAAGAGGATATGGTATGGCTGTAACTGACATCTGAATCCAGAATCTATAATGGATGTGAGCATCTGTGAGTACTCCAGGGATATGAAATACGCACACTGTAAAGGTTTCTGCATAAATTTAAGCATCATCTCCTTAAACTGCTAAATGCTTCCACATCATATCAAAATTACACTAAATTTCATTAGTGCAAAAGAAACATTTAAAAAAAAATCCTCTGCTCATATAAAAATGAAGTGCAAGTACTACTAGCAACGGGAAAGCCTAATTTCAATAATGGATTTTAAGGAGAGCAGTAGTAAAAACTGTTTGTGTTAACTTTGCTTGTCTTAATGATGGTTAACTTCCATACCCAATGCTGAATGGAATGTGGGTGAAATGATAGCTTCTGTACAGATGGCACCTTCTTTCCATTCCTACACAGCTAAATAAAGTCCCTTCATGAAGACAGTTACTACCAAGCATTAGTAAAGAAACTCTACAAAGAAAACATTCCCTGCAGGCCTTGCTATCAAAGTCCATGCCCAGATCATATGGTTGGTGTATCTGTTGTCTTTGAGGCTCATAGTCTGTAAGTCTTTTATATCCAGAAGAGACAGCCAGGATGGTAGGTTTTGGATTAATACTTTACCTTGACTATTCTTTTCCCTAGCTTCTAAAATAAGAATAATGGTTACTTACCTTAAAATACATAGAGGGGGAATGAAGGATATTGAACAGGAAGTAGAAAACAAAACTGATTTCTTTATTTTGGGCTGCAGTAAGTTCTTTAACACTTAAGGTTTTTTTTTAAGCTGTTAAAGCAGGATATCTTGTGTCTGTAGTAATTTGTGTTCTTAAATTTGTGTCTGTGTGTGATTGTATTATGCTTCTAGTATAGCCTGGATTCAAATGTAATAGCTATTATTTTTCCCCAGAGAAGACCTTTGCTGAGGTAAAACTATGTAGTAGTCTAATTCTGGAGTTACTAGGACTAGATTTCAGCCCAAGAAGCAGTACACTTGTATCAAAATGTTACTTTGCAAAAACTGACAATGTCAGAGAGGTATTGGTTTTTATCCCATTATCAGATTTTTACTATTATTGCATGTTTGCAATCTGACAAAAACAACCAAACCAGTAGAGCACTACTTTTTAAATTACAAGATCTTAAGTGTCTTTTTCAGCATTGTTAGTATTTCCAGGATAAATGTTTAACTTCTGGCTGTCAGTAAATTAATCTTAAGTGCTTCTTTTGCAGTACTAGTGTGATGTAAATATTGCGCCTTACTCACTAGGCTGCATATTTTAAAGCTGAGTATGTACTTGCTGTATCTGAAGTTAGTGAGAAAGTGAAAATCATGATTTTCAATTTGCCAACTCATTGCCTTTGTTGTAAATAAGCAATTAAAGATTTTATTTAAACTGTTCACCTTCTATCAATTTGATTTACTGTTACAGTAATTTAACAGTGTGAATGACACATGACTACAACCATCCTCATAGAGGAAGAGGATCTTAAGTAGAACTACTGCAAGAGTTTGTGCTTTCAGTACTTCATGGCTTGCACTGTAAAGGGAAATCTTGTTTGGGTTTATGAAGAATCAGAATCTTCTAATCCATGCTTGATCCCAGGTATCACCTTATGCATGTACCAGCTTTGCTCTGAAAGGAAACAACTTGCACAGGTTCACAGTGCCTTGGGACCTCAGTGCCCACTGCAGCCACTACCAGAAATAACCTGATTTCCTACATGTATACAGGTAAAAAGGGGCAGGCTTGGTTTGATAGAGGGAGGAAACAGGGCTGCTGCAAGCAGAGTAGCTTCTGCATTCTAGCTCTTCAAAAACCTCACTCTGAAGGATTTTTTTTAATACTTGAAGTTATGTCTATTTGGTGTAAAACAGGTTCAGAGAGGACCTTGATAGGAAAACAGCTATTTAAGTGTCTTGGTTACTTCTTTCAGAGTATTTCTTGAAAGCTACTAAGTTATTTTATTATTATTCAGTTATTCTATTTGCACAACATAATATTCCTGCTTTTTTTTTCTGGGAGAAAAGTTATTTTTTTAATTGCCATAGCTTATAGGATCGTACCTTTCCCTAACGACTGCTACTGAATTTAAAAAATAAATACAAATCTTGCAATGATACCTACCCTGTCTTTTGAAAACCACTACCACAGTATTCCACAGCAAAACCAATCACAATTACATAAAAAGTTCATTTGCAAATAGTTCATTTTCCTCTTAACTGTATTTATTCCTCTGTTGTTTTATGCCAAATCTCCTCCCAAGTTCTTCAATCAGAAGTCTTGAGGATTGCTCGTGCCTTACTCAAGGAGAGTAGAATGTCCTTCATTTGTCTCGAAGTCATTTTGCTTTCATCTTAATTACTAAAATCTTAATAAATACACTTAACCTACTCTGTAAGGTTTTTGTTTTTAGCAGAAGTCTTCCTGCACAAGAAACCTGAACACTTTTCTATAAAACCGCACTCTGGTGAAATCACCATGTACCTGCCAAGTGTAGTTGTGTCTAACTTAAAATTTTATGGATCATGGTTGTAGGTTTTGGGTTTAAGAAGCACTAGTTTTTATGTAGTATCAAAAGCCTCTGTCCTACTCTAACTCACTTGCATTTCATTGTACACTGTACCCCTTGGATAAAGGATGGTATCCAGTTACATTATCTTCAGAAAACATGACTTTGTGCCTCTACTTTTGAAAAAAATTAAAATGGAGATGTTTCTTTCACCCTTCAAAAAGCAGCTTTATTACAGCAATTTCTCAGGTGCAGGTTTAGCTGAGGCTGGGACAACTCCAGCTCTAACAGTCCCTGAAGTTAAACTGAGCAGACTTTACAGAAATGAACATAAATTGATATATAGAAATAAGTTAAACTATCTGAAATGTTTGACCTAATGAAGAGTATATAATGACTTCAACAGGCCCAGAACTTACAGAAGAATCATTTTTGGATGCTCTTTATAGTGGCTGCTGTTAAGGCAAGATCACAGAGTTGCCTCTTCTCCATTAAAAAGACTGCACAGTTTAGCTAGCAGTCTTAGCTACGGAAAAATTTTCGTAACAGTCTTCCTCCTCTCTGCAGAGGTAGAATCAGTGCTGAGTTCAAAGCTTTTATCAGTCTTCCATGTGTATACAAATTTATTAGAAGGAACTGGTTACCTGCATTATACCAAGATGTAATGCTGTAGAAGACTGTCAGGAGCACTGCAGTGACTGATGTATTTTATACAACTTTCTACAGATAAGTTAATTCCCATTGTATTCCCTAGGAAAAAATCTCTGGGGGATTCTAAAAAGTTTACCTTCCATTATATAGACTGAGTTATCCAACAGCACTCCTTTACAGCTTTTTAGAATGCTCTGTGTGCAGCACTAATTTGTGATCTGATACTGCAGCTGTAATGCTGTTCAGTCCTCCCACAAGGGTCACATATCAATATACTGATGTAGGAGGCTCTGGCAACTGAGAAGTTGAATCACAGTTTGAGAAACAAGGACTCTGTCCCAAACAGCCACAGTTGTTTATTGCTGGTACAGGTACCCAGGTGCTTTTTTCCTTCACTACAGCTGACCTGGTAGCAAAACTCTGTCCCACTGCTGCAGTCACTACAATGAGCCAGCAATCAGGTTTGTGCTGCAGTGAAGACAATACCTCCTCTAGCTCAGGAGGATACCCTTACAGTGCAAATTTTAGTCCACCAGTGGAACCTAAGTATCTTTTATTACAGCAACAAATAAGCCTTTTTGATCAGTAAATAAAGTTTAGGCTTTAATACAAAGTAACAGCAGTGTTGTTCTGAACATTCAGTTTATGCATAGGTAATTAAGCACAAATCACACAGGACAGTCTTCACCTTTTAACTGTAATGCTGATATTGCTTTTATGGTGTTGGACATCAAGTACAAGTTCATCTCCAACCTGAACTGGGATGGGCTCATCCAGAACAACTGCAGCTTGTTTCCAGTGTGAGGACTCATCAGATGTGTTCAAGCTATGGTCTTCATCTAGATGGATGTGATACCAGAAGGGAATGGCAGTGACCCGGCCAGACTTACAAATTTGTACCTAAAAATATTTAAAACAATGAACAGTTATACTACTTTGTTCTTTGAAACGGAAGTAGTTCAAGCCATTTCAATCCTTTTCAGAGACAGCTGCAGACAAATTCTGTGTTGAAATGTTTAGTCTACAGGAGCAATTAAGAAGCAGCACTGCAGAAGAGTAGTTAAATGTACTCTGGGCCTCAGAACTCACCTTCACTTCTCTGCTGGGGCTGTTCAGCAGAGGGTTCATGAGATCCAGCCTTAAAAGCTCTGCTGGCTTGCTCAAGGGTACACAGGGTAATGTGGAGAGATCCAAATACACACGAACGGGTACCTGAAAGTATAGACCAAAACTTCAGGCAGCAACAGCCATTAGAAAGGGAAAAGGTAGTAAACTTAATCGTAACACTAAAGTTGCCAGGAATTACTGGAATGGCTATCAGAGATAGACAAAATGCAAAATACAGCCTCTAATCCCTTTTGAAACACTGGAATACAGTTGCCTGGGAACAGTAACAGCACAGTCATTCATCTGTACAGTAACGGGGACAAAACTTCCATGCCAGTTCTAAAACAAACATCACCCATTTTACCTTATCTCAAGGTCCCTGTGTGGTCACAAAAACCTCTTTTGGTAATTTCAACAGTGTTTTTTATAGTTCACACCAAATCTAAACAGCTAAACAGCTGCAGCTTTGAAACCATGCCTGGAAGCTACCCACCAGCTTCCTACCTTGAACTGGTTGATGAAAGGGGCTATATTAAACCCCAGGGTTGGTTCTGTTCCTTGAACAGCACTCTCCAGCAACAGAGACTCTGATTCTACAAGCATCCCATATACCAACACATACTGTGGGAAAATCTTCCCTCCACTGTGAAGTAAACACCTGTAAAATAAGAGGGATTTCACCTGTAAAGCTTATCAAACAGTAATGAAAGAACAGTAAATGCATTTAAGAAAGGCACACTAGTTCTTGCTCTGAAGTCAAGTGTTCCTAGGCATAATGTGCCATCACTAAACACAAAGGTTAACAGTAAGGTTTCCCTAGGCCCACAAAAGAGGATAACTCAATTTCACACTTAGTTACCCATTTCCATTATTTTACTTCTCCTCTGCCTTCCTTCCCACTCCTCCTGCTGTGAGGCACAGCAGCTTTGCTGCTGCCCCCGTGGCTGTTCTAACACCACGGGTTTGTCTATTAGCAGGACCAGTCTGTTCCAACAACCGTTTGACACGTACACGAATCTGGGCTTTTCTAAACCTGCAGTAAAAGCTACCTTGGTTATTCTTTGTTATCCTGCAAACTTCTGACAGATCAAGGAATATGATCATCCATATTCTTGCATTAAAAAAAATAAAGGAATCTGAGATGGTGAAATCATGATGCTTTTAAAAAAAAAATAATGAATGCCAGAAACAGTGGAAGGTTCAATCCAAGGAAAAGCCCTTTTTCTACAGAAGAAACATAACAGTAATTACATAGTTACAAGGAATATTCTCAAAATTTTTCAGGTAATTACAGATTCCAAGAAATATTTTTGTCCTTTTATACTCTACCTGGATATTGCAGCCTTTTCCATCACCTCCTGCTGGATTAAACCTGATGTCTCTATAACATCCAAGATAATAATACTCCACAATTTGTCTGATTTGGGTCTCTGTAGCACCACACTTTCTTCTTCTAAGTGGCTGAGCCAAAACTCTAATGTTTCCTTAGGGAAATGGTTTGCTTCTGCAATGACATGAAGTGCTGCCTGATGCTGATCTTTCTCAACAGAACTGTAGGCTCTAACTGGTCCAAGCTTGCCAGCTATAATTGGCAGGATGGAGAAGCCTTCAGATACATCTAAAACGTATAAAGCATCAGGATCCACACCTAGAGAGCTCGTATTTTGATTCTCTTGGAGGTTTATCCCGCTGCCATGTCCATCAACGTCCATGGAGTGCAAGTCCTTACTTGGATTTAATGACAGCAGCACTTTGCTCATGGCAGCTTTGAAGCATTCATGGTAAGCTATGTCATTCAGCAGGGCTATTTCTGTGGATTCCAGCACACACACTGGAGTGCTGCCATCCCGTTTGGTGCTTGTCTGAAGTCCAGCCAGAGCATTACATAATTCAGCCTCATTGCCCAAACTCAGCGTGTCGTCTCTGTCACTGAAATCCATCCCACACTCTGAAGGCAAGGAAGAAATCTTCTGGATCTTCAAGTAGCAGTCTTGGCAGCAAACTTCCATCATCACAGTATCTCCAGTCTTCACAGAATAATCTTGGCAAAAGAGCATAATGAAGTTGTCAGTTACTTTACCAACACATCAGTGAAGAGCCTTACGGTGCTTGAAACAAAACAAACAAACCCAGCTCAATATCTCATTTGTTCATATCTGTGCCACAGTATGAGGACATCAAACCATTACAAGTGTGTGCAGAACAGGGTGACCAAGATAAAGGCCTCAGGGGAAAGGCTTATGAAGAGCTGAGGGCACTTGTTTTGCTCAGCCTGGAGAAGAACAGGCTGAGAGAAGATCTCATCACAGTCTAGAACCCCCTCAAAGGTGGCAGTGGAGGGGAAGGTGCTGATCTCTCTCAGAGATGGCACATGAGGAAATGGAACGAAGCTGCATCAGGGAAGTTCAGATGGGATATTCAGAAAAGGTACTTCACCCACAGGATTATCAGTCACTGGAACAGGTTCCCCAGGGTAGTAGTCACAGCATGCCAGAGTGCAAGGAGCACCTGGATAATGCTCTTAGACAGGTGATTTAATTTTAGGTAGTCCTGCAAGAAGCATGAAGCTGGACACTATGATCCTTATGGGTCCCTTCCAGCTTGAGATATTCTAAGATTCTAGGAAATAGGGAAATAAAAGGTGGATGAATAGAGAGTGGACACTGTTAAAGATTACACTGCCAATGCCTGTATGAGGAGAGTATTCAAGTTGAATCCCACATGGGGCAAGGGGTAGGTAGGAATGTTTAGTTTTGTTTTTGTGGCAGTAGCAGCTAGCAATTCCTACCTCACCTTGCCCTGCTTCCTCTCTTAAGTCACAAGTGAGGCAGTCAGTAGCCTGACTTTTTGGATTTGCTCCAAAATGCTTTAAATTTAGTACAGAAAAAAACCCCAACTTAATGAAAAGCTTTCTCCCAGATCTCATCACAGCAAAGTCTCACAAACAAGCCCTGATGAAGGGACTGTGCTCTACAAATCAGAAACATGATCAGGAACCACCTCTCAGCTACTGCTGCTGAACTTCCAATCCTATTTAGACTTCCTAATCTCTGAGATTAGCTAATTTATCAAAATAAAAAAAAAAAACAAAACCCCAAAATGAAACCAAGTTAATGTATCATAACAAGCAAACCCACAGGACATACCAAGGAGGCCCTGCACAGGATACACAGCCTGTTCCCAGCAAGTTTCCTCACTGGGACTTGTAGATAGAGAATGCTCATCATCAAGCTGCAGTACAAACCATACCACAACAGCATCCAGTATTCCTCCTTCAGTGACTGGCAGGCTTAGCTTCCAGGGCTTTCTAGCTGCCAGGCTTTTCAGCTCCTGACCAAAGCAAAAAGAGAGGAAAAAAAAAAGTGAGGGAGTTTATTTCCATAAATAAAAATTTGGTTTCATTAAACTAAATAATCCAAAATTTCTGCACCAATCCATGAGAGCACCCAACAGAAACTTGAAGTTACCAAGCCTCTACAATACCAATTATCATCATTACTACTCATTAGCATAGGAACTGTCTTCCCACATGCAAGAGCCATTTCCCACATGGACAGCCCACATCTGTGAGAAGCAAACAAGCCTACATCTAAGAACACACATATTTAAACTCATTGAAAACTGCAAGGAAGACTTCAGACTGGCAGGGCTTGCCTTACAAGAATGAGTAAAAACAGAGCCAGGCTTTTGGCTGAACTCAAGCCAATGCTTAGGCACATGTTTCACTTAAAACCTGTGTTCAATCAGTTCCAGAAATACTGTGTACTGTGAATTTGCTCAAACACAAGCTTGCAGAGTCATCATAAAAACAGGAAGTCAAACATCTTTGAGGGCGTTTTATCTGCTATCTGGGCTATGTAGGCCTTGTGTTAAAGGCATGTACAATCTCACTACTGGGAAGACCTTAAGGTCTATCCTAAAGGGATCATTTATACATTCTCCAATACTCTACAAAGTTTTGAATATGTAACAGGAATAAAGTCTTTTTCCATGTAAAATTTATTTTTATCAGGAATGATCTTCTGCTACCAACAGGTAGCAAAAGAGGTACAAAAGGACCAGCACTAATGTTTTAGTTCCAGCATAAACCAATTAACAGGAAGTCAAGCACAAGGGACCAAAGGTTCCCTCAAGTCACAGCCATTCTGCTTTGTAACAGCCCTTCCAAAACATTTATCAACTTCCTGATCTGCTTATGTCAACACCTGTCCTCTTTACATTTCAATCTTAAAATACACATGGCAAAAGAAAAGTTTATGTCCTGCTCTGAGGACAGGACTAGCTGTCACATGCTGCGTTTCTTATTCTTCCCTCTTTGTTCTGTGTTCTTCAAGAGCTTGTCTATCCCTCTTTTTACAACTGAGATGGCTGAGCAATGGGCAAGTTAAAATTACTGAATGATAACAAAGTTCACAGTAAGATGTCACTGCTCTCCAACAGAAGTGCTTTGATGCCAGTCATCCTTTTGGTACCTTTTCAGCTATTGAAGGGAAGAGTAGTCAGTGGAAGCTTTGCTGGCATCAAGCCCCTTGAAATAAGACAGCAAGAGCACAAGCATGCATCTGGTTCTTGGTTTCTGGGGAGTTGGGAGAGGTATAGAAGTGTATTTTATAGAAGTATTCTTCCTGATTATTCCTCAACAACAGCAGGCCCAAGGTTCTCATCCAGTGGGTTCTAGTAACTACAGTGTCACATTGCTATCACTTAAAAACACATTTGAAGGCTTATTTCAGCTTTCCCTGCTCTCTGCCATTCTGCTTAAACCATATTTATTTCTCATATTTGCCACTTTATAAATCGTCTTCTATATTTTAATGCCAATTGCAGAATTAAACAGCCACAGCACATCAGGATGGTAATTTATAAAGTAGTCTTGTTAAGAGAGAGCAAAGGAAATAAAGCACAGGAATAGGCAGTAAAACCCCCAAATGATTCAACGCCACACATCCTCTGAATGAGAAAGACCCACAAACAGAAGGAAAATCTACAGCAACAATGCAGTTATCAAGTTTCCTATGTCTTGATCCACAATTTCTCACATATTCCACACTACAACTTCTCATGAAGGATTAGGAAGAGCCAAAATCTGTAACTGTTGGCAAAAGCACAGCTCCTTTAGGGCCTGAAAGTGAGACTGAGCTTTAATTACTGGCTGCAGAGGTAAACACTTCCCCTGCCAGTGGCACTGATCTGCTGCCAGCAAACATGCACACAGGCAGCACCAGGCTGGGTGCAAGTGTAATTACAGCCACACCTCATTCCCCTGCCTGGGAGGGACTGAGCTGCTGCTGCTAATAACAGCAGTAATAAAGTAATCACCATAAAGCAGCTGCTTTTTTGAAATTATTATCATTTGTGAATTTTGACTTCTTATTTCTCTGATCTGTACTGATGTCTTTGAAATCTCCTACAACTCAGTTTGAAAAACACTGTTGTACTGCATCTTAAGCCTTCTTCTCAGTTCTGCCAGTTTAGGTCTGGACAGTTAGCATAAGCCGAATAAATGCAACATCCCTCTAGTTCTTTGAAATAGGAATTTAGAAAACAGGTCTTACCAAATAACTTACTAGTGCTAAGTGATTTTTTTACCTGAATTTCTCTTCTTAGTTGGTAATTCTGCTACTGTTTTTAAGTTTAGGAGGATTGTTTTCTTATTACAATAGGAACAAAGACAACTTTTTCTCATTTTTAGCTGCATTGATTGAACATCCAGGTATGGCCATGACACGACACATTAAAAAAAACCCCAAAACAAAAATCCATGCTGGAAGTAACCTACCAGTGTTTGGAACTATGACATTTGCCCAGTGACAAAGTAACAACAAACAGTAACCAAGGATTCCCAATCACATCAGTGATTCATAACAGAAGCATTTCTTCCTTTTTACTTACAATATCTTAATATTTCACGACAGGAGCACTCCATTAGTCTAACCAAAACTTCAAAGGAGCACTTCTGAAATGTGATTTCAAGAATAACACTGTTCTTTGCTCTTTAAAATTATCTTTACATGTTTGCCAGCAGGCAGATGCTTAAGAACAGACATCTCAGATGAGAGCAATAGCTTCTTCTTGATGCTGGAAGCAGAAGCAACATTAGGTCACAGAGATTGCTCCCAACAGTATACTGAAGAGCCTTGTCTTATTTCATTTTTCATCTCAGGATGTCAGACAAGCCAACTAGGAACAGCTATTGATTCAGAAACTGCAACTCCTGGCCAAGCAGCAGCCAAGAATAATTTCATTTATATAACAGAATCTATTTTAAGCTCTGACTCAATGCCAGCTCCTCACCACAGCTCAATGAGCAAGAAGCACACCAGAGATCAGCTGTATCATCTTTTTAGCAAGCTCAGCTGCAGGGGCTGAGGTCCTTGCCTTCCAGTTCAGGCCTATTTAGCATACATATACAAATGTATTTTGTGCTAAATACACAAAATTATGCTACAAGATTTTAGAATGCCCTAATACAGAAATACTTTGAGATACAAAGGAGCTGAAGTGTGGAATCAAATGGTTGAACAGAATAATTTCTTCATCTCCTCTTTTACATTTACCCACTAACATATGCATTTTTATGCCAGATGGAGAAATACAGCCTTTCTCTTTGTGAAGGCTGACTTTAGAGAAATACACTAAGTCAGCTCCACAACTACATAAATCATTCAGGATGGATCTCTTGCATCTTTCCTTCCCCTCCTTGTAGTGAGGCCAGCAGCTGTTAGATTTTATGGTGAGGTAGTTTTTAAAATTCCTTAAGCTATGCCCAGTAAACAAAAAAACTCCACCTTCAAAAAAATTACAGACTGTCATCTGAGGAATCACATCACCACACAACTAGACAAGCATCAAAACCAGCAGAGGATTTCAGAGCAGCCCTGATAACTTTGCACTTGTGAATTGTTCTGAAGGCTAACCCAAAACCAAATGACATACGGGACTTCCACTACTATAAAAAGATTAGTTAAGAAGGGTGCAAGAAAAATCATTACCTGCAGATTGTTGAAATCTACTGTCATGACTTGACAGGGCTGCGTGAGGGCTCTGTAACCCCCAGGAATACGACTGAGCTTCTCCGTGGTGTAGGGCTCCACAGTTTCCTCTGAGCCAGCAGCAGCATATGTGGGACTGACAAACTGCACTGAATTTGACAAGCACACACCAGCAACTTCTTGCATTCCCACTCTGGGAGTAAAGGCAAACAGAGGAGAAATGAAATGCCAAGTAATTTGACCAAAAACCTAAACGGGAAATTATCTCTAGGCTGACTATTTTTAAATGTACAGAGTGTTAGAATAGAGAAGCTCAAAACACTAATACAGTTCTGTGGGGTTTTTGTCATGCTCAGGGCAGCCCTAAAGCACAGAAAATGCACCTCACTTTCAAGAATCAGAACTGAATGCTCTCACCAGAAACTAAGAAAAAGCCCAATACATATTAAGAATTTCACTATACCCTAGGAAAAAACCCCAATACCAATCAGAGCACAACAAAGCATAACTTAAAATTGCTGAAAGATTGGGACAGAATACAAAGTAGAAGATCAGATCAGCCACAGAGAGATGGCTGTGATATGCAAAATTATCAACAATTGGACTGAAAGGGGATTCTCTCTCTCAGCAAGATGAATCAGTGTTTGATGATAAATCACACAAATTAAACACACTTTTAAATGTACTTCAGGAAAAAAATCATGTATTCATTTAATTCTGGGCTCTATGTCTACTTCTAACCACTCAAAAAAAAAAAAATAAAGCACAAGGAAAAGCTCAAAGAAAAGTTGTATTAACCGTTCAAGGCAGAAACTGTGCTAGATCATATAAAAATCATGAGACAAGAGATATTTCCACACTGCTATTTCATTAGACCTCCTGCTCAGAAAAAAACATCCAAACCCCAAAGGTCTCCTGTAGATTGTGAAAACACTTGAGGAAATGTGAAGGCATGAACATCAGAATAATACAAAGAGATCTGTGTAGTTTAAATCTGAGAACAGGCAAGTGTTTTACATAAAAACAGAACTTGTTAAAATAATCTTAAATATTCTTACTGGAGTAAAAAGGGATCTCAAACTATAAAGGCAAGAAATTTAAAAGTGACTTTTTTTCCTACAGCATATAATTAATTTGTGACAATCACTTCAGTCCTGCTTCAGTCACTTGACCTTAAGCTATTAAAATGGAACATCAATTCAACAATCCAAAGTTAACAGCAAATTAACTTTCATTGTATTTAAATTTTGTAAGTAACAGTAAATGCCCAGTTCAAGGCAAAACCTCTTCTAACTGATGAATAATTAACTTATAAAAGAAACTATTTTGTGACCATCTACCACAGGAACTTCTTTCTCTTTCTGGCCACTGTCCAAGTCTATTGCATTAGAGAAATCACTGATGGAGCCTGGCTGCTTTTCATCCAGTGCACTGGAGCTCCTCTAGAAGTCAGTATTTTCTCTAACTTATAACAATATTAATCCTAAACAAAATACCCCAAGTCCAAACCTCTCAGACAGAGACTGTCTCCATACAAGGATACTGTTCTAAAAGATTAGAATAAATATGAAAGTAATTGACACACTGTCAGAACTGGTCTCAGCAAAGAAACTCTACTGTATGCCAGTTCAGAATTAGGCAAAGAACATGCAGACAGATAAAGACAGCTGGGGTTATCAACACTTAGGCTTTACAGGGGTTAGATCCAGGGTAAGATCCAGAAGTGAGGTATAGAGCAGATTATAAAGAGGGTAAAATGAGGATAAAGGCCAAGCGTTAATCCAAGAATCTCCAATTCAAAAATCAAGAAATAATTTTACTATGAAGGAATTACATTTCTTTAGCATGCGTTAGAGGCAGGTATTTCAGCATAACTGTATGATTAACAGGTCCAGGAAATCTGAACCTCAAAGAGATAGGGAGGTGGGGCAAAAAAAAGACAGCCTGGAAAAGGGGTGGGGATAGTGAGAGCAAAAATCTTTTTTGTTAAACAGATAATCAGCCATTCAAAAAATAAAGAACAAAGTAAATGAGAAATGGTCAATAAAAACAACCAGTCTCTCTCCCCAAATAAAAAATGTGGGCTCAAGCTGTGCTAGAGTTTAAACACACCTGTGATGTCTACGTATCTCTTTGCACTCCACTGCCATTCCAAATATTGTAGCACTTGCAGGAATAACTCTGCCATAGTCTCCAGCACTAATATCTTGGTTTTTAGGCTGTGAAAACATGAACAACAACATGCAATGAGACAGTGGCCTATTTCTACCATTACTGAAAAGCCTAAATTACATATTAGTGAGCCATTCAAGTGACAGTCAAAACATTGCTAAGTTCTTAGTGACTGGTAAAATCACTTCTCTTTGACATTCTGCAGACCATTAAAGGAGTTTTTTAAATACAGTGTCTCAATATAACCAGGCATCAGCTTTACTCTTTAGTCTACTACTTTCTGTGTGTAACTCTAACAAAATGCAGATTTAAAAACACTGTCAAGACTATACTGAAACATTCGAGGACTTTTTCGTTATGCATCATTCCTGTACTTAACACTAGAGGTCACCAGTTTCAACTCAGTACAACACAAAAGGTTTCAGCCAGCTAAAACTTTTTTTTTTTTAAATGAGCTAGAATCAAGGCAAGGGCAAAATAAAGAGAAGTCCTTCTATTAGGATGAATATTAGCTTAACAGAGATTTGGCTATGTAAGACTCCGTGTCATGCTACTTTGATTAATGTACTAGCAAAACCACAAAACATAAAGTAAAATCTGAAACCCAGTGGAATTGCTTAGTCTTGCAAAAAGGTTCAAACCAGCAAAAATAAATTATTTTCCAAAATAATTGAGTGTTCCCAAATGTTACAATGAGAAACACTACCATAATTCAGCATTTTCTGCCTAGACTGGCTGTACATTTAAAATCCACACAAACCCTTTTGCTGTTACTTACAAAGATGGGGGACAAAAAAGATTTAAAATAAATGAATGAACAGTGATTAAGAGTGAACCATCGGTGATGAAGTAAGGTTACATCCTGAAGGAAGGTTACAGGGAAACATGCTTTGCAAATACATGTTTACTCAGAACACAGAGCTCACAGAAGTACAGTACAATGCAAGTTCTGCCTCACTGCCACTCACCAAAATCAAATTCATGGAGCAAGCTCAGATCACTCATTTTTAGCATACCAAAAGGAATGAAGCATTTACAAGACAACTGTTTCTCATTCCCATATGTCTGGAATGTGTGCATGCGCACAGGTACCCACATCACCTACCTTTGGCTGTAAAAGCAGATGTTCCCAAGCATGTATCAAGCTCTCCACAATTCCTTCTCCAAATAAGCCAGCATCAACTGTTTCTGTGACAACCAAGGAAACTCTAGACAAGAAAAATATGATGCATAACAAACACTCCTGCCAACAATCAATCATTCTTTTAAAGAAAAAAACACACCATACCAATATGAGCCCAGAGCTCTTTTACCAGGAGTTTTAGTACATGTGGACAATTTAATTCTTCCAAAAAATTATGTGTTTTGAATTGCTGTCAGAAGTTATTGAAGATGCAGATAAAAGAGAGCAAATATTGAGCAAGAATTTACTGTAAAGCTTCATGCTCAGCATTTATAAATAAGTTGTGTGGGAAGAATCTAGCCAAAACAGGAAGATGTTTCAGCCTGGGCACACAGCCAATGATACTGCAGAATACATATTTTGTGCAATAGTATGTACTCACGCATGTGTACAAAAAGGAATTAAACCCCCCAAAACTATAATCAAAACACAAAAAAATTCCTACACAGACTAACAACCCTAAAATCTAAAGTCCTCTGGAAGTAAACGAGAAAACATACGGCATAATGAGAGGAGACACTTGCAGAACAGCAGTAATTTATTTATTAATAGCTGACATCTAGTAACTCATTATATACACTAAAGGGATACATGTATTACAGTAGCTCAGCTGACACAATTAGGCAAGGCTTCATTGACCTAAACCAGGAGCTTCATCATTTCAGATCATGAACCTGTACCATCATCATAACTTTGTTAAATGTTGGTAACTCAATCCTGTTCAAAGGCTGCAGAAGTGAGCCACAAGATCTTAGAAGTATGAAAGTGTGTTATAATTACTTTTATGACATAGTAATCTATTTTTTCCCATTGCTGCTGTATGATTACATATGCCCCAAAGCTCCCACCACCAAATAAAACTCCTTAATTTACGACATTGTTGGTCTACCAACAGAAATAAGAATGATCTGAAGAATATGTTGTCATTTCTGCTCTTTAAACACATAAAAGACACAGAGAACCATCTCACATTATGAGCAGTATTACAGAAGTGTTACTTCCTGTTTAGGTCACAAGACATTTCCTATTTTCTTGAAATGACGAGCAAACTCAAAAATACCATCAGAAGAAAAAGCAGCAACGTACCTTTCAGGTATGTGCTTTGGAATTTCTATATCAAGTGACTTCAAATGCAGAAGTTTGATCTCTCTTTCCATATTATTTGCTGCCACCACATCACGGGCAAGTTCATACATGGTTTTGGATAATTCGCAGGCATAGACAAAAGATGCTCCCGCCTTTTTTGCAAACATACTGAAAAACAAGAATCAGGGGTTTTCCCCTCCTCCACATCTGCTTGATATTTCTACCAGTTCAAGTCTAAAAACCATCCTTGGATTAACTGGTATCTCTTGTGTGAACACTGATATTGCACAAGTTGATACCATCTTGATATGTTATCAGAAAAAAAACCACCACAGTTAGCATAAGGACACTCCCTCAGCTATGCTGAATCCACTCTTGACAGTCAATATTTAAAGACAGGACAAATAACATTACAACTTCAAAACCCATGTGAGTATTTCAATTTCAGCAGCACTTACTGGCACAAAAAGCATCTGCAACAAATAACAAAAAATGTTGCAAAAAATACTACTCCAGACTCACTGGCTTCTGAAAGCTTTGCTTGCTTTTTTAAGTTCTGTCTCCACAAAAGGATCAAAGCAGTTATTTATTCCACTCTCAGCCAAATTTTGTCAGGCAACCAACACTTTTCTATGAAATTCCTGTGAAACGTGCATTGCGGCATACCTCAAGATTCCTGTTCCCGTTCCGATATCCAGGACGGATTTGCTCCCTGAGTGCACAGCGCTCTCAATGGCCCTGAGGTAGGTGAGGTTCCTCCTGGCATCGTTGAGCATGATGAAGTGCCAGCGCTCCACCAGCCAGTTTGCAACGCGGTAAAAATTCTCCTTGGCATCGGCAAAGTCGGGGTTGAGCTTCACTGCTTTATGAAAATAGCCAGCTGCTTCGTCTCTGAAGCCCATTCTAAGAGCAAAAGTGACAAACAAATGGAAAGAAGGCATGCAGCTGTGAACATCTGAGGGTCTGTAAAGAGGTCTTATGTCAGCTAAAAGACAACAGAAATATTTTGTGTTAGAAAAATTATCTTTATAAACAGTGAAAAAGAATGATTTATAGCTTTAAATCAAGTCACTGTAAAATGCAAAGCCAGCTCAGAAACACCATTGTGTGCACCAACCTTCATACACTACTGCATCTTTAGGTTTTATTTACAAGAATTCACTGCAACAACATGACAGCAGCAGCTCTGCAATCTAGTCTCACAGATACTCAAGAGAATGTTACAAACTCAAGAGAATGCTATAACTGTGGTACTCTATTTAAATGGAACATCCTGCAAAACCAAGAGAATATTACAAACTCAAGAGAATGCTACAAAACTGTGGGTACTCTATTTAAATGGAACATCCTGCAAAACCACCAAATACCAAATTTTGAGTTTTTGCATTAAGTGCCAATTTTGAAAAAAGAAATTAAAAGAAACCAAACTGTGAATCTGAACCAAGTTTTAATGATACCTAATAATCTCAAATCAGACAGCACTGAAAAAAGCCCTAAATCTACCAAATATTTGTACACATTTTAATACAATGCTCAGAGAGGTGTTCTCTTAAAACAAAGAAGTTACAAAAAGGAAACCTAACTAAAACCACCTGGATTATGAGCTATGATTGCAGTCTTAAAATTCCAGCATTAGAACACCTGAGCAACAACAAAACATGGTGGCTTTTTCCCCCTGCTTTTGCTGTGATTTACAACTTTTATTTTTGCATTGGCTACTCTTTTTAAGCTATTTGAGACAAACAGATTTGAATGTGTTTGTATTCACAACGTGACCCTTACAAAAACTGAATATACATCACTGCAAACCTGAAGAGATGTTCTCCCATACTGTTACATATCACTTCATCACTGGGATACAGTTCAAGTGCTTGTTCATAGCAGTTAAACAGATCTTGAATCCGTGCCAGAGAATCCAGTTCTTCTGCCCATTTAAAGAGAGTAAACTGAAATGTTTCCTAGAAAATAAAGCACAGAGGTGCTGGGAGTTGCCAGAAGTAGGGAACTGAGCCCTGAAAACATCTGTAGGTGTCCTGACATACACATGGACACCAACACATGAGGATCAGCACCCAGCAGGGTTTACTGAGAGCCTGCATGTATGTATTAATGCATGCTCCAATACAAACAATACTCCAATACTGCCCTGTTTTTATTAAATGCCATTGACACACAGAGACTAAAAGAAGATTGTATGAACTCCCTTCATACAGAGCCTATTAAAGAAATCATTGGTCATCCAAATTATTACTGATTTTCCAATTCTGTCTTAAATAAAAGCAGAAATCAGTTACATGTAACAAATCACAAAACATGTCACAAAGACCTCAAGAGAATTAGAATACATAAAATTCCAAGTAATTCGAAGAGCACTTACTTTGACAGTAGTTTTTAACTCAGGAGCTAGATTTAGTACCAGGAGATAGTGAGCATACGCAGTTCCAAAATCCTGGTTCTCCAGGCAATGCTGAGCACTCTGCAAAGACCTGGAAACCAATTCCCGTCTGCTGGCTTCTCGACCACTCCTGTGGTTAGAATGAAGTTTGGCATTGGAGTTGGGCATTCTGAAGGATGTAAATACTCACTTATTCTAAAAAAAAAAAAAAAAAAGGTCACACATACTATATACTGTAGGTCAAAACGTTTGTACACAAAGTTGACAGATAAAAAAATATTTCAGTTTTCACTGGCATTTAGTAGACATCTCTTCTCCTGCCAAGTCCTCGAGATTTAAAAACATCTACTCTTTATGCTGCAGATAATTCCATCAGCTCTGAGTGTTCACCATTCAAAGTCAAGTGTGTACCACATCTAGGTTAAACCAGGTGTTCTGGAAACAAATTACATTTCTGACTTTGTAAAATTTATTTTCGTAACAGACATTTTAGCATGTCTCTGACCAGACAGTGTGGCACACTGGTAGTTCATGCACTCAACAGATTTCACAGTCAACCACAAAATCTGCAGGTTAAATTTCTTCTCCTTGAACAACAGCATCTTCACAAAGCAAAGCCTCACACAGCTAATGAGTTCCCAGTTTACTTTACACAAGGCACCACGGCGATTTTTTCTCTTAAGAAAACATTAAAAATAGTGACCAGAAACAATATGCACATTTTTATACTTGCCTGTGTTACCGCTGTAACTCCTAATGGTACTCAGGTGAGCACGGCTATAGTATGTAGAGACGGGTCCCAAAGCTGAAGAACACGAAGGTTTCGTGGACAGGGACTGCAAGAAACACAACACCATTCCGACTAGACTTTTTTTGTTTGTTGTTTTCCTAAAGATACAGTAAAATAAATAACACAACGCAGACCAAAGCCGGAGAGGCCTTGCCGCTCGCCTCGGGGCAGGGCAGGGCGGCCGAGGGGCCGCAGGGCTCCAGGCGCTGCTCCACGAGGGGCTGCCCGGCCGGCTGCGGGGGGAGGTGGGGCTTCCCCTGCTCCCGGGCATCACCTGTTCCCGGGCACCACCTGCTCCAGGGCCATCCCCCACCTGCTCCAGGATCGTCCGTCACGGGCTCCAGGGCCAGCCGTCAGGGGCCGGGCGCGGAGCGGCGCTCCCAGGCCGCGGCCATAGCGCTGCCGGGCCGGAGCCATCGCGCAGGCGCCGGGCGGGAGTCAGTGCTGCGGGTAAAGGTGTTTCCATTACCCGCGTCCTTTCTCGGCCCGCATCCGAGCCTCTGCAAGCTGGCAATGCAGCTCGTGCTAGTGCAGGGCTGTGGAAGGGATCCGCAGCCGTGCCCGATGCGGTCGCTTGGCGATTCGGGCTGTTCAGGGCTGCTCGGCCAGCACGGAAGAACCACCACCTTAAATGTTGCCCAGCGCTGTGTACGCACTGCCTCCCTCCACGGCCCTGTAGTCACACTGTTCCTGACTCTAAGTTTTAATTCCCCTCTTGGTAAGTTCCCGAGAACCTCAGATGGGAACAACACAGGCTTCAAGTCATAAACAAGCTTTTCTTGGACCTCTGATTGAGAGCCGTGCTCGGCAGCAGCAGATCGCGAGGAGCAAAATGCAGAGCTTTGCTCCACATCTCAAGTTCCGTATCCTGCTCCCTCCCACGCCTGTGCCATCAGTTCCTTCCCTGTGCAGCCGTCTGCTCCGGAGAACAGCCCCATTCAGAGCCCTGGAGTGCAGCTGGAAAAAGGCAGAGTTCATTCGGTCATGTCCTACTTCTGGGACAGGAACAGGCCGCGGCATTGTTTACTAATTGTGAAGTGTTTGGAAGCTGCTCATCTTTGCTTTCCCGTTTTAAAGCATGAATGCAGCTCTTCCATGCTTTTACAGCTGTGGATATTGTGTGTGCATACCCTTTTAGAAACAAATGAGCGTTGTGTAAAAATGCCAGGCCAGCATTTTGAACAAGATGAACAGAGCACATGCGGAGTGGGAGCACGAGTCTAAATGAACAGTTTAGCTGTAGCAGCTAAACTGTGAGTTGTGCTATTAAAAACATAACTGGTAAAGCACCTGGGCTGAATGAAGTCCATGAGGATGTGCAAGTATCAGTACCAAATACTTCATATGAGGACTGAGCTCCAAAGGAGGATATAATACCTTATTAAACCAACTTGTCAGTTGGTACCAACAAGCCTTCATTCAGTTTTGGAAGAAAAAAAAAAAAAGCTGTGAATTTTAAATCAGTTACAGATAGGGAACAACCTTCTTGGACTTTGGTTTAATTATGCTTTCCAGCTAGACAATGATAGTATGAGGCAAAGAAAATGTTAGCACCTGTGGGACATCACAAGTGAGAATGAGAGAAAAAACACAATGCAATTATCACCTGTGGTCAGTGAGGTGTAACAAGAGCTGGACTGTAGCAAATGCTGCAATGGGCAATTATCTCTGGCCCATTGCAGAGGTATCATGGTTCTCCAAACGAATTCAGCTGTATTTTTTGTCAGAGCAAATAAATGCTAGTGGGTAGCATAAATTCTTTATAATGCATATTTTTAAGCATAAATGGAAAAGTACTGTGTGCTACTTTGACCCATTTGTGAAGATTACTAAAATATGGCAGTGTAAAATCCTTGGAATTCACAAGAGTCCATTCATTTCAAAGGCTGGGGAGGATAGTTGTTAATTTCATACTCACAATTTTTTGATGGAACACTTCAGGAAAAAATGGCCCCAGGATGCAATGCTTTGTAACACTGACAAAACATACAGCTGCTTTCTAAAATAATTTGTTGGGTAAAGCTTGTGCTGTAAAGGAGTGCCAGAAAGGAATGCCCATCAGAGATATACATGATTTCCATAATAATAATCAGATTGGCTGACAGTAGAATAAATAATGTTGGTCTGCATCGTGGGTGGTTGCAGACCAGTCTGTTTACATATATGAACTGCTGATGGATGAGAGGAGAGGGAGCATGCAGCCTCGAGGTATCTCACATATGCATCACACCCCTAAGGTCTTGCAAGTCAACTGCAAGACACTGTCATAAGCAAAATGGGAGTTAGAAGAAAACTCTTTAAACCCTCTGTTAAACTCATGACAGAGGTAAAAGTGCTTAGACAAAGACAAAAAATTATAATTCCTTGGAAGGCTGCTATTGCTAATGATGTTTTGAACAAAGCAGCTGTCTGTTGGAAATGGTGGGAGCTGATATCAATTCTCTGTAACAAAACATCAGTAAAACTGAAAGTTAAATTCACGAATTTCTAATCTGTCTCTCCTTAACATGCAGTCTGGAGACACAATCAGCCATACATCAGGACATAATCTTTCATAAAAATCAGAATGGTGATCTGAAAAGAACGTAAGAAAGGTAAGATGGAACAAAACGTGATATGCTGGTGTTTGCCTATTGTATAAAATGACTTAGAAGAGGGTATTTCCAGAAATCACACTTGCAGTGAATGTCAAAGGAAAATAACCAAAGCAAATAGAAATACACAGTTTATGGACAGGATATTGCTACAGCTTCACACAGTCAATCTATGTCATAGTCTCTTAGAAGAAGCTACAAGAAGGCTGTAAAATTTGATGACCTTGAGTAGGGAGTGGCAGAAAAGCAGAGATTTTTCTGATATAAAGCCACTTTGAGCCTTAATTAGTGGTAATTAGTGGTAAAAGAGCAACTCCTTTTATTGTTAATTACATAGGTAATTGTTGTGCATAAATAAAAGGTTATTATTTCTCCCCAGTGTTCTAGCTTTTGTTTTAAATAATAATTCTGCTTTTTCAGAGTGTGACAATATTTTGAACTGGTGGGTCAAGTTTAGGAAAACATATATTTAATAACTGTGGTGGTACAAATCCAGTAGATTGTTTTGATTAACTGGATAGAGTGTAGAAATCAATTTAGTAGTGAGGTTGCTTTCTTGTTTTATTATGTAAATAGAAGTTGAGTTTCTTTATTCTGGGGAAGAAAAAAAGTGTTATTATTATGTATTTTTGCTGGGCTGACTGCTCTTTTTAGGTGCAACTAGAAAGGAATACATTTTTATTTCACATGATTGAGGCAGGTGGACCAATTTCCCCTGATGGGCCTGTCATAGTAGGAAAAATCTAAATTTCAGGTCTACTGGGTTTTTTACCAGCTAAAAATCCCCAGGACTAAGATAAACATTCAATTAAAAAAAAAAACACACCTTAATTTGAGTGGAGGCAATACCACACAAAGCATGGGATCCCACTACTTTACAACACTTCAGTGATATTACAATAGGGAAATTAAAATAACTAAAAACAGACATGAAAAATATTATTCTAACTTTAATGCTGAAGACAACTAGAGAACAAAGTAAACAAGCTACCCATGGAAGGCATACCTATACTTGAAATGCTGCTCCAGTAATCTAAACAGAGATAAGGATTGTTTGTTTAAGGTGGTTTCCTTTTTCTTTTTAAACTGATTTTTGAGTAGCATAGAAACTTCTCAGCTAAGTAATATTAGAAAATAAGTATCAGCAGATAATGTGATCTAGCAGGTGAAACACTTGGCTGAAAAACTGAACGTTCAGGATCATCTCTCAATAGCCCCTCCTGGTCTGTTGTGATTTCAGACAAATCATCTGCATGTTCCGGCAGCATCTCATTTGAAGGGGCCACGCTCATTTTCGGACTACTTTCAGAAACTACACTTACCCATGAGCCTTCATGTCAAGCCCCTTCTCCCTGCCCCGGTCTTTACATAGTTGTGTTTTCTTACCATCCTTATCTACATGAACAATGAGGACATGATCTTGCCCTTTGATAATGAAATTCTGTGTTTACTCACTTGAGCTCTGTGGTTGCTGCCAGATGAGTAATACACATCCTCAGTCTGGTGTAGGAATGCGCCCCCTAATGACAGAGTGGCAAAAACTAACCTTTGTCCCCCAAAAAAGGAAAGAAGCCCAGAAGCTTCTCTCAACTGTTAGGTGGAAAGCTACTTCATAGGGCCTCAGGGACTTCACCAAACACCAGAGAACACCTAATTGGATAGAAGCCAAAAAGTCCCCCTTGATCAATCAAGTAGAAAAGAACAGAACAAAAGAGAAGAGGGGCTTTTGTGTGAAGTGTTTCTACCAGGGGCAGACCTCTGTACCTGGCTCGAGTTTTTCTGTTTGTTATTTTGCCTTTATTAAACCTTTTTTGTTTCTAACACCACAGCAGAAGCCATCCTGCTTATTTTATGCCCCCAAAGTGTAGCTGAGCTATCCTTGAGTGTATTAAGTGTTTTTCTAGGGCTTATGAGAACTGGCTCTAGGACAAACAACTTAATAGTCTGGTTTCTGAAGCAGGCTCTGAAGTGGACAGGAATTAAAAAACCCAAATATTTGCAAAATTGAGTACTTCTCACTATACCGCTTTATGAACAGGAGTAATTAAAAATGAGATTTTTAAAGTGCCCACCTATTTCCATACTTGACTTCTCCAGGTCAGTGCATGGGATCATACAGAAAAAGCTTGATAGTTACACCACCAGTTATCTTAATCTCAGACATGCAGTTTAGGCTTTACTGTGGGCCCAACAATAATACATTTAATTAATACCAAAGATCATTGCTTCAAATGGAGAAGGAACCCAATTTGCTGAAATACAGAAAAAAAATAGATTGAATTGACTCGCAAAGGAGATACTCATGACTAAAATATATATACCTCCCAATCATCTGAGAAAATCCCACAAAAGCACTCTGAATTGCACTACTGTCAAACCATTGAATCCATGAATTATAGCTAAATTATAAACACAAATATAACTATAAGCCTTTTCTGTCTTCATCACGGATTTCCTAACATTCTTAACTGAAACAATTCAGCATTGAGTGGTCTTCTCAAGGTCTTGCTGTTGCCACAGTTCTTGTTCACAAGACTGTAGTAGTTTATTGAACGAAGACATAAAGGTGAGTCTGTATCTCTTTTACTGAGTATTTAATGTGCAGACACGTGGCATAGGGTGAGCAACACCAGCCTTCTCAGCTGGTAGACAACCACCACCACAGCCAATTTTGGATCAAGCAGCCCACGTGCTGCTCTGTGCATCTTCCCTCTGAGAGCCTGCTCAGCCCCTTCCTAAAGCTCACAGAGGTTCCATGAGGTGCGGGGGGCCCAATGGCTGGTACAATCATAGAAC